GAATCCAGAGCCTTGCACATGCTAGGTGAGCGCTCTACCACTGAGCCACAATCCCAGCCCCCAGGATGAACTTCTTTATTCACAGATCTGGAGCTTTGGAACTCCTTGACTCAACTTCTTTCTTGTAGTATCTCATCTTCTAGGACCTCTTCTGGTCACTTAGGTGTCTCACAACATGGGGTCTCAGAATAGTTACACTTTTTACGTAACTACTGGTTTCTAAGAGAAAGCTTTGCATGAATTTGTGATATGAGAGGCTGGGTCTGTAGCTCAGTGGCAGAGCACTTGCCTAGCATGTGTGAGGCAGTGAGATTGATTCTTAGTACCACATAAAAAAATAATAAATGAATAAAATAAGGCATTCTGTTCCTCTACCAAAAAAAAAAAAGAATTTGTTATATGAGTGGGAGCATTCAAGAGGCAATTCTGGCCACTTAACAGCTAGTACTTTTGCCGTATTCTACTTATCAAAGCAGTGGGTAGAGACACTCTGACTACTGTGGTGGTAAGATCACAGGCAGAGGAGCATATGGATGGGCTGTATGGTTTTAAGCATCTAGTAAACATCTTTGGAAATGTGGCAGTCTGCCTTAGAGATACAGTTTCTTTTTTCTCAATGGATAACCAGGGGGCTCAGCACCATTTATTGAAAAGTCCATGCTTTCCTATTGACCTGAAGGGTCTACCCTGTCATAAACCATGATTCTAAACAGGAGTGTGTGTTTATTTTGGATTGTTTTTGTTTAGGCCTATGGTTTTCAACTTGGGGCTCTTCTGCAGGGACATTAGGCATCATTAGAGAAAATTCCTGTTGTCACAACCGGTATCTCAGCATGCTACTAGCATCTGGTGATAGATAGAGGCCAGGGATGCTGCTAAATATTCCACAATGCATAGGGCAGCCCCACAACAAAGAACTATGTGGCCTAAAATGTCAGTGATGTTACAATTGAGAAACCATGGTCTGTGTCATCAGTTATGCCTTACCATGTGATCTTCATTAGCCTTAGAACCTGGTAGGGTAAGTCACCTCACATTGCTTTCCTTCTTTGAGAATGTATTGGTCCTTTGCATTTCCATATAAGTTTTAGAATCTGTTAATCATGTTTCATTAAAAACTCTTTGTATTTCAATGGAATTTTATTGTAAATTGTAGATCTTTGTGTGGAAACTGACATTTTGTGACACTGTATCTTCTTATTCACCAACATGATATATATCTGTTGAGTAATTTCTTTAATGTCTTCTAATAAAATTCTATAATTTCCTTAGTAAAGGGCTTGCAAATATTTTGTGCACGATGGTTGGCCCTCTTGGCCACCTGTGAGGCTTTTTTAAAAAAAATATATTTTTTAGTTGTTGATAGACTTCCTTCCTTCCTTCCTTCCTTTTCTTCCTTCCTTCCTTCCTTTTCTTCCTTCCTTCCTTCCTTCCTTCCTTCCCTCCCTCCCTTCCTTCTCTCTCTCTCTCCCTTCCTTCCTTCCTCTCTACCGCTGAGTCCCAGCCCCAGTCCTAGCTGTGAGACTTTAATAAGTTACTTTTGTTGCTTGGATCTTTGTTTCTCTATGTGAAAAATGTGGTATTTGAATGAGATCATCTCTAACAGGCTTTCCAGCAAAGACTACATGAATAAAATGTTAGGATTAAATTAATAATTTTCAATGCACAAAATAAAAGTAGTCCACTGGAGGGAGCTCTTTGGCATTTTTGTCTCTGGCAAGATTGCCAGCCTGCTGTGAAAACAGCGTGCCTGCTGTTGATAGCAGCAAAGATCCCATCTTTTTATGGTGTGTGGAAAAGTGACTCCTTGACATATCTTCAATCATTGTTCTGCACATAAGAAATTCTGCTTTGATCTTTGGAAGACATTACTTGTTTCTTGGTATGGAAATGAAAGAAGCATATTTTTGAACCTAAAAGAATTAATAACTCATCCAATTTAATTTTTTATTTGTCAAATGAAATAAATTGTTATTTAGAAACTTTCCCTTTTTTTCTTTTTTTAACACATGGCAGTATAATGTATTTTGACCTATTATACATATATGGGATACAACTTCCCTTTCTTCTGGTTGTGCATGATGCGGAGTTACACTGGTTGTGTATTCATATATGAACATAGGAAAGTAATCTACTGTCTCTCCTCCTCCCATTCTCCCTCCCTTCCTTTCATTCCCCTTTGTCTAATCCAAAGTACTTCTATTTTTCCTACCCCTGACCCTTGATTGTGAGTTAGCATTTAAATATCAGAGAGATCATTTGGCTTTTGATTTTTTTGGGGGATTGGCTTATTTCACTTAGTATGATAGTCTTTAGTTCCATCCATTTACTGGCAAATGCCATAATTTCATTCTCTTCATGGCTGAGTGATATTCCATGGTGTGTGTGTGTGTGTGTGTGTGTGTGTATGTGTGTGTATGTATGTATGTATATGTGTGTGTGTGTGTGTGTATATATATATATATATATATATATATATATATCACATTTTCTTTATCTATTCATCTGTTGAAGGGCACCTAGGTTGGTTCCACAGTTTAACTATTGTGAATTGAGCTGTTATAAATATTAATGGGGCTGTGTCACTGTAGTGTGCTGATTTGAAGTCCTTTGGATACACACTGAGGATTGGGATAACTGAGTCAAATGGTGGTTGCATTCTAAGTTTTTTGAGGAATCTCCATACTGCTTTCCATAGTGGCTGAACCAATTTTCAGTCCCACCATCAGTATATGAGTGTGGCTTTTCCCCACATCCTTGCCAGCACTTATTATAACTTGTCTTCTTGATAATTGCCATTCTGACTGGAGTGAGATGAAATCTCAGTGTAGTTTTAATATGCATTTCTCTAATTGCTAGAGATGTTAAGTATTTTTCACATATTCTGTGAAGTGCTTGTTCAGTTCCTTTGCCCATTTATTGATTGGGTTATTTGAAACTTTTCCTTTTCAAAGGCCATATAGATAGTTCACGAGAAAGCTAAGCCTGGAACTCAGGTCCAAAAATTTTACACCATATTTGAGGGAATGAAGTGGGAGAGTAAGTCATGGGTCTTGGTGGTGGGGTAGGCATTTTGTTTAACTTTTAAAGGACTGAGAGGTGGGTAGTCTGTGAATTCCTGAAATTATATATAATATTATATGTGTATGTGAATGTGTGTTTGCTTTGTATATTTGAGTGCTATAGTTTGGCTGGAAATAGAACTTTTGTCATTATTGTTGGCTTCTAAGAAATTAGACTTGAGTTCTGTAAGTCAGCCTTTACTTACACAGTGGTGTACTTTTGACTGGCTTTAGAAATTTAGTTTGGACTCTTGGGAAAACTGCTTTGGTAACTTGATTTTAAACTATCTTTCGGTTTATTTATCTTTCACTTGTTTTAATGATTTTCAGACCTCATTTTTGTTCTCACTCTGAAAGTAATTATTGGGTATTCTTTTAGAGAAGATGAAACTCAACTTTTCTCTATTAGTTATCACTTTTCAAGTCTCTTGAGACTGTTTTTTGAAAATATCTCCATAGTTTTCTTATTCTTTATGATTCTCTAGATTTACCTTGATATAAACATTCCTTGAAAAGTATAGACATTGTAAAATTCTTTGTTTCCACATTCTTCTTCTCCTTCTCCTTCTTTGCTGGGGATGGAACCCAGAGCCTTGTGCATGCTAGGCAAATGCTGTTCCACTGAGCTACACTCCCAGCCATGCAATGCATTTGCAATGTGTTCTTTTCCAACAGGTTTATTAAAAAAAAAAGATCCTCTGAGGAAAAAATAAATATTTAGTTTCAGTTCCTTATCAGTTATGGTATAGGTCATTTTAGAGAGTTGGAATTTATGTAGGCTTGTGTGTGCTTGTTCGGAAAGTGATTTTACTGATATGCAGGAAGGCTAGGAACAGGGAAGCCCTGTAGAAAGGCAGAAGAAAGATACTGGGCAGCTTTCTAGCTCCTTCTGGACAGATTTCTAGACTGAAGCTTAAATCTCAGTGTGAATTGTTAGATATTCAAAAGAAGGAGGGTTAATTTTTATTAGAAGCAGTTACAAAAGTGATTACCAGGCCAAATGACTTCCATATTAATGTATTATTCAGTAAGTATTATTGAGGATTTTGCTATCAGTAATTTCTATTTCTACAAGTTTTGGCTTGAGTAATGAGCATTAAGAATTTCAAGCTGAGTAAAACAAAGGGCTAAGCCTCCCATTAATAGCATTTTTAGTCATGAAAATCCTATGACAAGGGAACAAGTTTTATTTATTTTTAACAATATCACATATTTGATGGCTGTTTTTCTCCATAAATTTTGAGGGGCATAATGAATATTTTTTCCATTTTTTTTATTTGTTTTAAAATTTATTTGAATAAGATGGGATATAATTTCTCATTTTTCTGAGTGTACAGGTTGCAGAATTACATTGGTCATGCAGTCACATATATACCCACAACAATAATAATGTCTATTTTATTCTGCTGTCCTTCCTATTCCCCCTTCCCTTCCCCTCCCCTCCCATCACTTCTCTCTACCCAATCTAATGTGACTCACTTCTTCTTTTTTTTTTTTTCCCTCACATCGTCATACCTATATTCTGTATAATGAAAGGGGTCTCCTTTCCTCTTCCATGCAATTCCCATTCTCCCTTCCTTTCCCTCCCACCTCTCTTCCTTATCTAGAGGTAATGAATATTTTTTAAAAATATTTTTTAGTTGTAGATGGACATAATATCTTTATTTATTTATTTTTGTGTGGTGCTGAGGATCGAACTCAGTACCTCACATGTGCGAGGCACGTGTTCTACCAGTGAGCCACAACCCCAGCCCATAATGAATATTTTGTAAAAATTTGTTATTATTGGATACAATTAGCCATATAATAATTTGATGAAGTATAAGATCATTTATTATCTAAAGTGTGGAATTCTTATGCAAAATGTGGGAATTACTATTAAAATAATGTGGTTTTCCCACTTATCCTAATAATAGAACATTTCTTCTGGATTTTTAGATTTCCTCCTTCTTCACCCCTGAAGCCATATCCAAAGAAGCCCCTATACCAAAAGAATATTATTAAATTTCCAGAATGGAATGATCCCCCACCGGGCACCTCGCAGGAGAACATCCCAGTGAGGCCAGTTGTGCTGGTAAGTGATGTGACTTAAAGACATTATCTGATAATGCCCAGGTTTGGTCCAGTTGCTTCTGTTAGTGCCTTATGAACAATGGCCTTGAAGTACTATAAGACAATATCATACCTGACAACAGCTGAGAGACAGTTAACCAAGAAAGATCGGCTCTTACATTTTTTCACTCTTGCCCATTGACAGTTTGACAGAATATGTGGTAGCTGTTTTCTTATGTTCAGTCAGAGCAAATATCTATTAAAACTCCCATTGCAATCCTTTTTTTCTTGTCTGCTCCATGACTTACTCCTCTTCTGTTTTTTTCTCCTGAAGTTTGTTATTATTAATAGTTGAAAGTAAGAAGGGTTGGGCATGATATATTGTAGAATGATCCTTGACACAATATATGAACAAAGGCAGATTCTTCTAGTGTAGGAAAACCTCAGTTCACTGTGGAATAGACTCACTCTTCTTTTGCATATCTTCTTAAAATATCCCTAGTTGATGACTATCAAGATTGAGATAATGCTAAAAAATAAAATACAGAGAAAAACTTTGATAAGGTGATTTTAAAGAATTTTGCTAACACTATGGTTTTAAGTTAATCTAGTCTTATGCAACTAGACAAAGATATGATGAAACTATTTTTAGGCCAAGTAATTAAAAGAAACTATATATATATATATATATATATATATATATATATATATATATATATATATATATATTTTTTTTTTTTTTTTTCTCCTGAAGAGATTGTATAATGTCTCATTTTGGAGAAAACAGTTAAGAAGCTTAGATTTTTATCAAAATGATTACAAGGAAAAGACTGATACCAGTGACCAAAATGGGAACTCTGTAGGGACCTTGAGGATGTGTCAGGAATGGTGATAAATTTGGTGATAAAGATGGATGGTAGTAAATGTAGGTGTCTCACAGGCAGATGGGGACAATGGCCCTGGAACTTAGAGGAGACGCTGTATTTGATGTCTCCTTTTGCTTAAACTTATTTATGCAAAAGATTTTTCGAGTGTCTCTACATGCCAGGCATCATGAAAGGCTCTACAAAGGCAGTAATGTGTGACAGTTTTTATTTTGAAAGGACTTGTTGTCCAATAAAGCACACAATAAAAAGTACACGGAAGAGTGAGTGCTATTAGAGGACTATTTATGTCCAATTAGGAGTACTTAGTCAAGGTACAGTCAGTAGTTCTTGTCCTATAGAAAATTAAAATATAAACTTTAAGAGATCAGGTATGTTTTTAGAACATTTGAATTTAAACACCGGGGAATATGATTGTAGAGTTGTTATTCAACAATCATTTTTTCATTTTAAACTCATCCAGTATTATTTACATAGAGATAGAATCTCATATCAATGTGCTTTTATGCCACTGATATGATTCCCTCTTCTGTTCTACCTGGTTCTGTGAAGTTATAATGTTCCTGGTGCCCCCACTAGGAAGACCCAAGTGTTCAATAGAACATCTCAATCCATTGTTCAGGGCTTTGCACCAATGACAGCGACTTCTATTTTCAGTTTTAATTCTGGGGAGATCTGAATTGATATGCCAGAGTCCCAGATTTACCAGCCTTCTCCCTGCTTAAGCCTATGTTTCTCCCTGGCCATTTGTATCCATATCTCTTTTTATTTCTTTGTGACTTTTGTCCTGCCTTTGCTTGTATTCCACACCCCCCCAACCCCTTATGTGTAGGGAAGGGGCTGCACTCCCTGTTTGTTTTATGCATAAAACTGTTTTCTCACACATTACTCTCTTTGTAGAGCCTTGCATGATGCCTGGCACGCAGGGACACTTGATAAATCTTTTGCATAAAACAAAAACTCCTAAAGTGTAGGGAAGGGGCTGCATGCCTACAATCATTCCATCAAAGCTTGGGCTCCTGCTTCTTAGGATAGTTCAAAGGGAAATGGCAGAACAGGAGGTGTCCTCAGTGGGGCCCTTGATGAACTTTTAGAATGATGAAGTTGTCAATTAATAAACAGTTCATCCTTTATGAAACTTGAGCTTGTTCTTTTCTGTTGTTTAACTTTTTCTTTCTGTCTCTGCCTTCGGTTTGCTTGTTTTTTTGTTTTGTTTTGTTTTGTTTTTTTTTTGTTTTATGTTTTGGCTATCTTACATAGCCATTATTTCAAACCAAACCCAAACAAACAAAATAAAATAAAGCAGATGTGGTTATTTGCTGTGTGGGCTCTGGTGCCAAACTGCTGGGTACAAATTGTGGCTTCTCCAGATTGTGGCTGTTTGAGCTTGTGTCTCTGTATCATCCATGTGCTTGTGTCTGAGTTCTCTGATCAGTGAAACTAGTATACTCATCCCTCCAAGGTAGGGTTGCTGTGGAAATGGAGTTGAGTTCGTACCTACAAAGTGCTTGGAATGTCTCTATTATGTATTTTAAGGGATACCTACTATATTTTTATGTATTTTTTTTATTTATATAGGGAGTGGGAACATGGGAGGAATAGACAAACTCTATCTAGAGGGGTTGGAGGGGAAGGGGAGACATGAGGTAATTAATAATGGTGGAATGTGATGATCATTACCTACTATATTTTTTATTTGAAAAACAAAAGGTCTTAAAAAAATTTACTTTGGGTAGGTAGAATTCATTTAATATTGCACATTTGAAATTTGTATTGGCTCAGTAAGGAATGTATAATACATGGTATAGTATAGATATTTCTGTAACAGTATGAAAGTGAGGCTAATTTTATATTAATTTGCTAAGAAAAAGAACTCTTAAATTTTTGTCATTTTCTTGATATATTATTATTTAACTTGGGAACATGTAAGAAGTTTCATTTAGTGCTAAATTATAAAAAGCTTAGTTATATAACTATTATACATTTTTTAAAAAATATTTTTTACTTATATATGGACACAATGTCTTTATTTTGTTTATGCATTTTTAAGTGGTGCTGAGGATCAAACCCAGTACCTCACATGTGCAAGGCAAGCACTCTGCCACTGAGCCACAACCCCAGCCCACTATTATACATTTTTATACTGCCATCTATATTATGAAATTTTATGGTAGTAATACATTTCAAGGAGTAGATGATGTTTATCCCAAGGAAAAGAAGAACCCTTATATTTAATGACTCCAAACACCTTTTACAAATTTCACAACTTCCTTTGGTTGTGTTTTTTTTAGTTATTATAAAGAATAGCAATTCAGATTACTTTTTAGCACTACTTAAGGTAGTAAAAGTAATACCTAAAACATGTTATCCTTTCTTAATTAAAATATATTTCAAAGGAGAAAAAAAAAAGTGTTTAGAACAGCACCTGGTACACAGTTTCTCAGTATTAAGAACTATTGCCATAATAAATTATTTCATAGAATTGTTTATAGGAAGAGAAAGAAGAAAATGAATTACTCATAATATTACCTAGAGAGAATTTCTATTATTAATATTTTTATTGTATATTCTTTTTTCTATGCATGTTTTTAACTCAGAAATGAGGTCATACTGGACTGTTTTGGAGCCTGAGTTCTTCACTTACAACAGTGTACTATGCTCATTGTTTTCATGCTTTTCAACATCCAACATTATTTTTAATACCTGCATCATGTCTAATATAAAATTGATATTTTACTTCTCTACTCCTTTACTGTTAGGTGTTTACAGTATTTCCAGTTTTTCAACATATAAACAATGTGCTAAGCAATACCTTTACAGACAATTATTTGAATATATTCATGAGTATTTTTTTAGGAAAGATTTGTAAGTAGACTTGCTAGACAAATGTTGTTACCTCCAACTTTTCCTTCTAAAACACCTGTTTTAGATGCTTAGAAATTCACACATCCACGTGGCCTTTGAATTTCTTTCGTAGTTCAGTAATTCTTTAAAAGCAAAACCAAAAACCAATTAAAAAAAAAATCCCAGGGCTGGGAATATAGCTCAATTATTAGAGTGCTTGTCTTGCATGCACGTGGCCATGAGTTCAATCTCCAGCAACACACACACACACACACACAAAGAAATCCCAGAAAATTCCTTCTCCTTTTTTTACAAGTAAGATTTTTCTATGTTTTTTTGTAAAAAAAAAAAAAAAATTATAGAAATTCTTTGTGATTTCTTATATATATTGCCTTTTTTAAAAAAACTTTATTTATTTGTATGTGGTGCTTGCTAGGCAAGAACTCTACCACTGAGGCACAACCTCAGCCCGTGTATTGCCTTTTAAATGTCCAAATTCTTCTCTGTGATTATGAAAAGAAAGTTTTGTAACTTGTGTCTAGTAGTCTAAATATGAGCTCCTAAGAATAATGTGGCAAAGCTGAGTGACTTGGGGCAAATTATTTAACCCCTCTAAGCTTTAGTTTTTTCCTCTGTGGAAAGGGGTTCATTCCTTCTCTTCTGGTGTCCTCAGCTGTCCTTGAGCTCTTGATTCTCCTTTGGCAGATGCCAGTTTTGAGCTGCTTTCCAATAGTGTATTTTTTTTTAATTTTTATTTATTTTTATTGTTTAATTTTCGGCAGACACAACATCTTTGTGTGTATGTGGTGCTGAGGATCGAACCCGGGCCGCACGCATACCAGGCGAGTGCGCTACCGCTTGAGCCACATCCCCAGCCCCCAATAGTGTATTTATTTGACATTTGCTTTAGAAAATTTGTCAAAGTAATCTACTTTAATTTTATTGTAATTAATCACTCAATTTGGACAGTGTGTGGATTTGAATAGATATTCCTCAATTTAATTGTAAATTAATAAAAAATTATTTTATGAGGTGGGCACAGTGGCATTCTTCTATAATCCCAGATGTTCCAGAGGCTGAGACAGTAGGATCTCAAGTTTAAGACCAGCCTCAGCAATCAGCAAGACCACGTCTCAAAAACTAAAAAGTTATTTTACTGTGCTAAGTGTGGTGGATCATGCCTGTGGTTCTGGCTGCTTTGGAGGCTGAGACAGGGGGATCCCTTGAGCCCAGAAGTTTCAGACAAGCTTGTGTAACCTAGCAAAACCCCATTTCAAAAAAAATTGTTTTTATATTAATCACACTTTGGCTTCACTGAGTAGTTGAAACTACCATAGTAAATGAAGGTAGGTACTGTTTACTGTCATGCTTATTGATGTTGTTCTTTTGTAATTTATAAACATTCGTCTATAATATGACCTAATCCTAAGAGTCCTTACTCATTTCTCATTGGTCCACACAAAGAAAGTTAGTTTGTAATTGTAATTATTTATCTTAAATTATTCCTATCAAATCATACCCTATATATCGAAAGATTTATTCTCTCTTACTATTCCTTCTCCTTCCTTTCCCCCTTCTTCCTCACCTCCCAAATTAGAATTCTGAGATGTGGTTCAAGCGTCATAGTATTGCTATTGGAGAGGTGCCTGCTTGCCGTCTTGTCCACCGCAGACAGCTGACAGAAGCCAATGTAGAAGAGATATGGAAGTCTATGACATTATCATAGTATGTACATTTGATATCTATGAGAAATTTTAGTGATTTTTTTTCTGTTTTGTATCTTCATTATTCTTTGCATATTTAATTTCTGAAATTATGGAAAAAATCTCAACTTTTGCATAATCTGTAGCTATGTTGTTTAGCAAACAATTTAAATTCTGAAAATTTTCTATTGTTATTTAAATAGGAATTTAAGAGTTTAACTTTTGAGTAACATTGCAATCTTAATAAACACAAGGGAAAATTTGGTCTCATGTATGAAGAACTATAAGTATAATTAAAATTAAGAGTATTACAGCAATTATTTTTTCTTACAAAGATATACTAGTAGCAGTTTGTCATCATTGGATAAATTAGTTTTTGATTGTATAATATTTTTTCTCATAAAATTATTTTCTTGGAATTCAAAGCATTGTATTATTGAATCATTAAAGTAGTATGTTAATGGCAAAAGGATATTTTTTCAGGTTTTTATTTTTAAATTGCATTCCATTTCTGCTAAGTTTGCCTTCAACGATTGGGTGAAGTGCATGACAATAATGCCCTTTAAAGAATAACGTTCTGCAGCACCAGGTTTCAAGGTTAATAATGATTATTATTTATCTTCTAGTTTACAGAAAATCCTTGGCTTAGACTCCTTAGAAGAAGTTTTAGATGTCAAATTTGTCAACTCCAAGTTCATCGTCCATAATGTATATAGTGTTAGCAAGCAGGGAGTGGTTATCCTTGATGACAAGTCAAGTAAGTGCATGAAAACCATTTGTTCTTGGTTGACCTGGCACATTGGCTGTGAGATCCATCAGCTCTTTTTTGACCCTTCCCTAAACCTAAGCAAGTTTATCCTCTCCTTTCATATATCTGTCTCTCATTGCACAATACTTAAAAACAAACAAAAAACAAAAAAAATTAAAAATAAACTTTTGGCTAATTTTTTTTGGATAAAGAAAATGTCATGGAGAGATGAGTGTCCAGAAGTGAAAACCTTAGCAGAATCCATCTAGAGGCTAGTTCATGGTAACCCCCCTGCCCCCACCTACCACTCAGTGGTTCTGTGTTATCCCTAGGTAAAACCCTCTGGAAAGTAAGTATGTTTAAGACCTAACTGAGTGAGTCAGTTTTAACATGGGGGCTGGGAGCCACTGCCTTTAGCTTCTGGCTCACCTTTTCATGATATGTCTTTGTATCAGATTATCTGGTATAGTCTTGATTTATGTCATTTTTTTTAAACAAAGTACTTCTTTAAATGTTGAGGGTATTTCATACCTTTTCCTCCAGACCCATTTATAAATTGGAGGGAAGAAAAAGACATTTCATTACCTACCTAACCCAGTTTTTGATTTGGAAATATATAGTCATATCACTATAGTATAGTGATGCCTATAGTGCCCAACAATTCCTAGGTTTGTTTTAATTGGACATAACTTTCCTATGTTAATATGAATATATGACCAGGGTAACTCCATATCATGTTCAACCACAAGAATGGGATACTTATTAGAATGTTATACTCCGTGTATGTATAATATGCCAAAATACACTTTACTGTCATGTACATTTAAAAAGAAAAATAAAAAACAAACAAAACAACTTTCTTCCTACGGGTGAGGGTTGAACCAGAATTGGATGTGTGCTTTTATTTTATTCTTTGATTTTACCCTTTAATTCAATTCTTGATGCTGACGATTGGCTGAAACTAAATGACCTTTGGATGTGAGAATATAGTAAGTATAATACATCTTGGGATTTTATAAAACATTAAATTCAGGGCTTGAGGCTCCTGAGCAGCAGACAGAGGGTACCAGAAGGAGCCTGAGCAGTTGTAAGAGGACAGGAGGGGTTTCTAGGCCATGTCACCTGGCAGGAGCAGAGACTGTCTTTGAAAATGGAAACACTTTCTCTTTCATACCCCTTCTATCAGGAATGGAGGACAATGGGAGGCAGAAATAGATTTGTGGTGGCTTTGTGAGTTTTTGAGTTAATATCACCATATAACATTAAGTTTTGTAGAAGTGCATCTAAATCCTTCCCCGTTCTCTGAGTGTAGCACACGCTTGCAGATACAGTTGATGACCAGTCATTTTTTGTTTAAGTTCTTTACGGAAGAGAGGATATTATAAACTCCTGTTCAGGAGACTCAGGTTTACTCAATTCAAAAGTGTCTTCCCATTTTTACTCAAGAAGATGAAGTGGAAGCCTGAATATTGGTCCTTCTCATCAGTGTCTGTGGCAGGGCAGAGACTGAAAAGGCTCAGCTGGGACTTTTTGAAGCAGTGTTTTTCTTCTATTATTTTAAGGCTATCCTAATACTTAACAGCCTAATACTAACTTGTCTGTAAAACTTTCTTTGCCAAAAGCATTTTTTAAATGTTAATAGCTAAAATGAAACTTACCTTGCATCTACAAAAGGTACCGTTTTGGGTTCGATCTTAGCATTGCATAAAAAAATAAACAAATAAAATAAAGGCAAGTTTTCCATCTACATTAAAACAAAAACAACAAAAGAAAAAAAAAAAAAGAAAAAAGAACGTATCTTTTTGTTGTTGTTGTTGGGTATTGTTCCCAGGGCCCTGTGCATGATAAGCCTGAGCTCTACCACTGAGCTATACCCCCAGCCCATAATTTACTCTTTGCTATTTATTTTGTTTCATAAATGCATTTGATGGGTATTATTTTTGCTACTTCTGAATTTTCTTTGCCTTTGGTTAATTGATTTGTCTGTTGATTTATTTCTCTGGGCCAAACTACCCAATTTTTTTTCTTTTTTCTTTTTTCTAATGCATCTTGTCCTTACAGAAATTTGTAGGTGTCATTTATCAAAGTACAGGTTATAACACTTCTGCTAAGAAAGACTTCTATCTTTTAAATGTTCTGATGCAAAAATTGGTCATATGTTCATATTACCTGGGCAAGTAATATATTCTTATATATATATTTCCTTGAGTTACATAGAATTGAAAAAAAAAACATCTTTTTATTTTCATTTCTCCTGCAGAAGAACTTCCTCATTGGGTACTGTCAGCTATGAAGTGTTTGGCAAATTGTAAGTACTAATTATCTGCCAGTTTTATGGAATTGAGAGAAATTAGTGCCCTGAATTAGAAAATATTTCGGCTCAATGGACCAAATACTGATTTGACACCTATGAGACTGGCAGCTAATTGTTTTGGGACTACTGTGCTTTTAGTGATAAATTTGTGACTTAGTGAAAGGGCTATTATAAAATAATTTTAAAGGCATTTGGTGCTTCCATTTTCATATGGATATAATCACACTGTAGATAAAGTCTCACTACTTCTGACTGCTTCATCACAGGAGAGAAACAAGTTAGTAATAGTGCATGTAACGTAGTGACAACTGCCTATTCATAGTCTACAGGATTTTATTCCTGAAGCCTGTATTTTTATTCCTAGAAGACATGCTATAAAGTATCTACTATAGTTATATCATCAGTTTGCTCAGCAGATCTTTCTCATGTTGGCTTTTCATAGGGCAGTATTTTCAGTGGGAAATATTTTAGTGTGTACTGATTCAACTGATATGCAGGATGGCTTCGAAGGAGAAGGACCTGCATGCAGAGAAATAAGAAAGGCCTGTTTTAGGAATTTGGATGTAAGACAAGGGGGGCTGCACCAGGGTGGTCCCTATGAGGACTTTTGTAGGCATTTGAAATCCATTGTGTAGGCATGTGGCATCCATTTCTTTGGCTGTCATGGGTACTGAAAAGAAATTAGTATAGCATATTATTAACAATCATTTTTAGGAGGTTTAATGCACAGAAATTATTCTAAAGGTTAAAGGCTGACCCTCTAGACAAATGATTGATTGATTGATTGGTTTCTGGTACTAATAATTGAACCCAAGGCCTTGCATGCATGCTAGGCAAGTTCTCTACCACTGAACCTCAGCCCTTTTTATTTTTCATTTTGAAACAGGGTCTCACTAAATTGCCCAGCCTGGCCTTGAACTTGTGATCTTCTTGCCTGAGTCTCTCACATTTCTGGGCTAAAACGCATGTACTATGCTAGGCTCCAAATAAATGATCTTACTGGGAAGAAAGAGTTCTAGTTATTTTGGTTGACTGATAATGGTAATATTCAATCTAGAGGGCTTTGTGATTTACCTTAGAAAGGTAGTTTCCTTCTTTCTTTTTGGGTAGGACTAGCATGTACAGAGAGATATCTAAATTCTTGAATTAGTAGACCCTAAATTACTGATTTCATTGAGTTAGTTTTGTTTGGTTATAAGGTAAAACTAACCACTTAGCTTAATGTGAATAATTTTAGTGGTCCTGTGTGGAGAATGACTATATACCATCATTCTGAATATGCATAGCAACATTAATTTGTGTGAAGCCCAAATTTCTCTGGGTTTAATTATTAAAATTTTCTTTGTTTTTTTTTTTTGGTGAATATTTTTGAAACTCTGAGATGTAGAGTACTTTGGTTTTACTTTGGGGGAGTGCTTTTTATTCTTCCTGCTCAACCATTTGAGGTAAATTAAATTTAAATTATATCTTTGACCAGAGTTGGCAATGATGAGATAGATTTAAATGGGAAGTTAAATGACCCATTTCAGAACTCCTGGCAAACCACAGATTTGGAAATCAGTCAGTGGGAAAGAACATCAGAGGCCGGTATCTAAGCTATAATATATTATAATATGTATTAAGGGGTGTTTATAAAGTTTAATTTTCAATGACAACCTAAATGTAGTGTAATTTCCCTGAAGATATACATGGAAAAGAACCAAACTTCTGAAGGAAGATTAGATTAACTGAATTCCTTGTTTACAGAGGGGAAAGATATGAGGCTTGATTATAAATGATCTTCACACGTATGAGGTGATACTATATGAGGTGGAGAATGTTGGCAGTTAGGAACATGCTGACATAAACCAAGTGGGATGCTTTACCAATAGTTGGCATGTCCATAAAGATGTTCATTGATGTATCAAAGAATAAATGGTGGCCAAAGGGCAAGGTTGACCTTTTGGATAGCTTTATAAAATCTCTTAAGTTTTATAGAATGCTCCTTGACCCTTGACATTTACTTTGAATCCATCAAACTCATGAGCTGTTCTTGGTCCTTTCCTTTTCTAAATTCAGATTCTTGTTACAGTTAACTAAAACGAAACAGAAAGGATAGGCTGAATAATGATATTCGAAGGCCAATTGCCTCCTTTTCTGTAAGTCAGCTACTCATCTCTTTCTCTTTAAGACCTATCTACAATTATTGTAGACTATATGCATATGGGCCTCCATGATTTGGTTGTTGGCCAGGCACAATCATGGCTGTCCATGCAATGAGGGATTAATGCTAAATAAATACAAAACCAGGTTAACTGGGGTTTTCCTTCTTGTATGTTAGATTGCAAAAATTTGATCAAAACAAATTCAAACAAACAAACAAACAAAAAAAGCCAAAGCATTTCTTTCTCAGAATTTGTCAGAAATAGCATCTATAAATTATAGATGCTATAAACTAGATTAAAGAAAAATATTCTTAAAGTTCAAAGTTTGTTAAGAAAGAAAAGATCTTAAAAATATTACCTCCTCTCATAGAGCTCACCGAGCACTGTCTTGTCTTTCTTTTTGGAAAACCTGTTTTGTTTTTCTTTCTGCATATTTTCAAAAAGGATGATGAAATCTTCACAAAGGGATATAACTGCTTAGAATGAACCATGTACTTATCCTGGTAGGGACTAGTTCTAAGTAATGTGTCTCACTTGCTGAGATATAAAACTAATTATTTCAGTTGGCTAAGCTTGGGCTGTATCCGTAGGAAGCAACAAAAATGATGGCTAGCCAGGAGTGGTGGTGCACACCTGTTATCCTAGTGGCTAGAAAGGCTGAGGCAGGAGGATTTCGAGTTTAAACCCAGCCTCAGCAATGGTGAGGTGCAAAGCAACTCAGGAGACACTGTATCCAAATAAAATACAAAATAGGGCTGGGGACATGGCTCAGTGATCAAGTGCCCCTGGGTACAATCCCCAGTACACCCTGCCCCCCGCCAAAAAAAAAAAAAGAAGTGGTGGCTACATTTGCTGCTGATTTTACATAATCCCACATGTATAGATATTTCATTATTTTAGCTAATAAATTATTTTATAAGAAGAAAACAGGTGTTCTGGGGCTGGGGATGTGGCTCAAGCGGTAACGCGCTCCCTGGCATGCGCGGGGCACTGGGTTCGATCCTCAGCACCACATAAAAATAAAGATGTTGTGTCCACCGAAAACTAAAAAATAAACAAATATTAAAAAATTTTCTCTCTCTCTCTCTCTCTCTCTCTCCCTCCCTCTCTCTCCCTCCTTCTCTCTCTCTCTCTTAAAAAAAAAAAGAAAGAAGAGAACAGAATGTTGAAAGGTTAGAAGTTAAAGACCAGGAAAAGACATTTCATGATGTTCCATTGGATTGAAATGTGAAGGCCCAGAATGCTTTGCACCCGTTTCTAGCTTGCTCTTCCTTCCTTACTTCAGTGATTCTGTAGAAAGAATTTCCTTTCAATTTATCTTGTCTGCTTCCTTCATACCCCAGGGATAGAGCTCTATTTGGGTGTGGTTGTTTAGTCTTTTGCAGGTGTAGACGTGGCCAGTGGAGGTAAGTCATCTTTTGATGGTTGGCCTGGAATCAACTAGAGAGTTTATAATCAGAATGAATTAATAAGCAAAATGTAAAATCTCTTTTTTAAAAAGAATTTGAATTTTCATTAGTCTGTAATAGTTTAATTAGAGGCAGAAATTGATTATTTTATTCAGCTCTATGACTGTAGGGTTTTATAATATACCAGTGATGAAATAATGAAAAGCTGTGAAAATCACTTTATAACTTGTCTATTGCATATGTCAGCTAATTGTTATATAGGTTAATTTATCAAGAATAAGAAAATTTTGAATATTTCAAAGAAAATTATCATTGTTTACATTTAATAAGTGTGCCTCTTAGAAGAATATAAAGAGTAGATTTCTTTTAAAATGAAAGTAGGTCAGTGCTTTGCCTCATTGTTTTATAAGAGATTTCAACTTAGACAGAAAACATATTTGTGTAAGTGAAATGTGTATCAATGTACATAATGTCAATTTTCCACTATCTTTTTCTGTTCTGTAAGTCTTGAATATCTGAATTTCTATATATCTTGAATATCTTTACCTAACACACTTATGTACAGATTATAATCTTTAAAGGTAATTGATCCATTAATGTTTCTTTTTCTATTTTTTTAAAATAGGGCCCAACTGTTCAGATTTGAAGCAGCCTATGTACTTGGGATTTGAAAAAGATGTATTTAAAACTATAGCAGATTATTATGGTCACTTGAAAGAGCCACTGCTTACATTTCATCTTTTTGATGCTTTTGTGAGTGTATTAGGTAAGTTGGAATATAACAAACATATACCTGCATTATTGATATTGACTTATTTTTTACTACCTTGAGAAGTTTATTAGCCACAACTCATGACATTTTTAAAATAAAAATGGATAAAGAGCTTGACATGGCTGGATTGATTACAGTTGTATGAAGGAGTAAAACAAACAGTCATGCTGTATGTATTATGAAACTTAAACCAAGGACCAGTAGTTTTTAGTTCTTAAGAAAGAATAGTATGTTGTATGTCATTTTTATACAAAAGAGCATAACTTTATTGGAGAGAAGAATATAAATTTACTGTTCATGACTCAGTCTCTTATTCTGGGTATGACTTCATGAATGATCAAATGTGAGAGGTATATTTTCATTTAAAAATCTAATTTGTGTTAATAGAAGAAACAGGTTTTTGTAAAACTATTTGTTGTTTAAGACAGTATTTTAAAATAAATACAATAACTATCATTGTCTAAAACTTGTTGGTGTTCCTCCTACAGCTATGGGCTTTAGAATTTTCACTGAACGAAATGTGATAGATAGGAAAAAATCAATATCATCACTATAGGTATTCTGATATTGTTTCTTTCTTCTTGGAAATCAGATATTCCTGTTGCTTGTTGTGATTGTTCAATGAAAATATATATATATTTCTCATTAGAAGGTTTGCTTTGAATAGGAATGATTGTGTGGGTATCATCCTGTCTATGTAGGTTTATGGGAATTAGCATGCTCTTGGTTTTGAACATCCTGGGGTTGAACAGTCTTCCCCTTTCCCTTGCTTTCCCTTCCCTCATTTCCTATGGCATTTCTTTTCTTTTTCTTTTCTATCTTTTTACAAAGCATGGATGTTGCTGTAATATCCTAACAAAATATCAGCAATATGTGTATACCTTATCTGTTCTCTTAGCACAGTACTTTATTTTTTTATTGGTTCTTTTTTTTTAAATAAATGACAATGGAATGCATTTTTTAAAAAATAAATGACAGTGGAATGTAATAAGAATGTACAATTCTTGGGGCTGGGGTTGTGGCTCAGTGGCAGGGCGCCCGCCTAGCATACACGAGGCACTGGGTTTGATCCTCAGCACCACATAAATGTAAAATAAAGATATTGTGTCCATCTAAAACTTAAGAATAAATATTAAAAAAGAATGTACAATTCTTATTACACATATACAGCACAATTTTTCAGATTTTTTATTGGTTCTTTCTAGTTATAGGTAACATTAGGATTCATTTTAACATAATTATAAAAGCACTAGAATATCATTTGTTCTAATTCAGCCTCCAGTACTTCCTCTTTCCCTCCTTCTTTTCTCTTTCCACTATTCTACTGATCTTTCTGCTATTTACTTATAGTTTTTTGTTTTTTTAAATCAGTGTCTTTGAATGTACATGATTGTGAGATTCACTGTGGTATATTCATATGTGTACATAGGAAAGTTAGGTCGGAGTCAGATTCATTCTGCTATTCTTTACTATCCCATCTCTCCTACCTCCCCTTCAATCCTTTTCTCTATTCTACTGATACTTCGTCCTTTGTGCCCCCCCCCCCCATTTCGGATTAGCTTCTGCATATCAGAAAACATTCAACATTTGACTTTTTGGGACTGGCTTATTTCACTCAACATGAAAATCTCCAGTTCCACCCATTAACTGGCAAATGCCATAATATCATTCTTCTTTATGGCTGAGTAAAACTCCATTGAGTGTGTGTGTGTGTGTGTGTGTGTGTATTTTATTTACTTTACCCATTCATCTGTTGAAGGGCACGTATTGTTGGCTATTGTGAATTATGCTGGCATAAACATTGATGGGGCAGTGTAACTGCGGTATGCTCATTTTAAATCTTTTGCATATATACTGAGGAGTGGGATAGCTGGGTTATATGGTGGTTCCATTCCTAGTTTTGAGGAATCTCCATAGTGCTTTCCAGAGTGATTGCACTAATTTGCTGTTCCATCGATAACGTGAGTATACCTTTTCCCCCTACATCCTAGCCAACATTTATTGTTACTTGTCTTCTCGATAATTGCCATTCTGACTGGAGTGAGATGAAATCTCAGTGTAGTTTTAATTTGTACTTATCTAATTGCTAGAGATGTTAACGTTTTTCATATATTTATTAACCATTTCCATTTCTTATTTTGAGAAGTGTTTGTTTAGTTTTTTTGTCCATTTATTTATTTTTTTAAATGTTTTTTGAGTTTTTTGCATTCTAGATACTAGTACTCTATCTGAGGAGCAGGTGGCAAAGATTTGCTCCCAAAATGTATGGTTTCTTGTCACACTCTTGTTTCCTTTGCTGTGAAGAAGCTTTTTGATTTGATGCCATTCTACTTATTAATTTTAAATTTTATTTCTTGTGCTTTAGGAGTCATTAAGGAAGTAAGTTCCTGAGCCAACATGATGGAGTGCTGGGCCTACATTTTCTTTTAGTAGGTGCAGGGTTTCTAGTCTAATTCTTAGGTCTTTGATCCACTTTGAATTGGGTTTTGTGCAGGGTGAAAGACAGGGGTTAAATTTTATTCTTCTATATATGGATTTCCAGTTTTTCTAACAGCATTTGTTCAAAAGGCTATCTTTTCTCCAGTGCATTTTGTCACCTTGTCTAGTATCATATAACCGTATGTGGATTTGTCTCTTTGTCTTCTGTTCTAGTCCATGGGTCTTCATGTCATTTTGGTACCAGTACCAGGCTGTTTTTGTTACTGTAGCTCTGTAGTATAATTTGAAATCTAGTATTGGGATGCCTCCTGCTTTGTTTTTCACGCTAAGGATTGCTTTTGCTATTCTGGGCATCTTATTTTTCCAAACGAATTTCCTAACTGCTTTTTCTAGTTCTGTGAAGAATATCGTTTGAATTTTGATGGGAATTGCATTGAATCTGTATAGTGCTTTTGGTAGTATAGCCATTTTGACAATATTAATTCTGCCTATCTAAGAACATGGAAGATCTTTTCATCTTCTAAGGTCTTCTTCAACTTCTTTCTTTAGTGTTCTACAGTTTTCATTGTAGAAGTTTTCCATCTCTTTTATTAGATTGATTCCCAAGTATTTTATTTATTTATTTTTTTAGGGCTATTGTGAATGGGATAGTTTTCCTACTTTCTTTTTCAGCAGATTCATCATGATTATTTTATGAGTGTTGATCTTGTATCCTGTTACTTTGTTGAATTCATTTATGGTTTCTAGAAGTCTTCTGGTAGAGTTTTCTGGGTCTTCTAAATATAGTATTATGTCATCAGCAAACAGATCATTTAAGCTCTTTTCCTCTTTGTATCCCTTTAATTTCCTTCTCTTACCCGATTATTGTACTTAGAATTTCAAAGACAGTGTTGAATAGAGTGGTAAAAGCGGTCATCCTTGTCTTTTCACAGGAAATGCTTTCTGTTTTTCTCCATTCAGTATCATGTTAGCCTTGGGTTATCACATATATCCTTTAAATATTGAGGTAAGTTGCTTTTATCCCTAGTTTTTCTAGTGTTTTAAACAAGAATGAGAGCTGTACTTTATCAAGTGCTTTTTCTGCATCTGATGAGATAATCATGTGATTCCCATCCTTAAGTCTATTTACTGGTGAATCATATTTATTGATTTATATGTGTTGAAGCCATCTTGCATCCCTGGGATGAAATCCCCTCGATCATGATGCACTATCTTTTTAATGTGTTGTGTATGCAGCTTGCCAATATTTTAGTAAGAATTTTTGCATCTATTCTCATTAGAGAATATGAGAATATTCTCTCCTTTTCAATTTCATGAAATAATTTGAGGAGAATTGGTATTAGTTCTTCTTTAAAAGTCTGGTAGAACCCAGCTGAGAATCCATCCAGTCCTTGACTTTTCTTTGTTGGAAGACTTTTGATAGCTGCTTCAAATTCATTGTTTGATTTTTGATCTGTTTAAGTTTTCTATATCCTCATGGTTCAGTTTGGGTAGGTCATATGTCCCTAGGAATTTGTATCTTCAAGATTTTCTAGCTTATTGGAATACAAACATTGAAAATAGTTTCCTATGACCCTCTGGATTTCAGTACTGTCTGTGGTGATATTTCCCTTTTCATCTCAAATTTTGTTAATTTGAGTTTTTTCCCTTTTTCTTTTGGTTAGTTCTGCTAAGGTTTTATCAATCTTGTTTATCCTTTCAAAAAACCAAAACCATCTCTTTGTTTTGTTAGTCTTTTGTATTTGTTTCTCAATTTCATTGATTTTAGTAGTTCTGATTTAAATTATTTCCTGTCCTTTTTTTTTTTTACTGATTTGGGTGTTGGTTTGTCCTTCTTTTCTAGGGCCTTGATATGTAATGATGTAATGTTAGATTATTTATTTGGTATTTTTATATTTGTTTAATATATGAACTCAGTGCAATGAACTTTCCTCTCACAACTGCCTTCATACTGTCTGTTATGATTTGGATAGGGTGTCCCCCAAAAGCTTATGTGTGAGACAATGCAAGAAAGTTTGGAGAAGAAATGATTGGTCACAGCCTTAACGTAATCAGTAAATTATTTCCTGATGGGAATAACTGAGTGGTAACTGGAGACAGGTGGGGTGTGACTATGGGGTAAATATTTTGTATCTGAAAATGGAGAGTCTCTCCCCCCCCCCTCTTATGCTAACTGATCATCATGTGAGCTGCTTCCATCTACCAAATTCTGCCATATGAAGTCTGCCTTACCTCGAGCCCCGAGAAATGAAGCTGACTGTCCATTGATTGAGATCTCTGAATCTCTGAGCTCCTAAATAAACATTTCCTCCTTTACATTTGTTCTAGTCAGGTCCCTTAGTCACAGTGGCAAAATAGCTGACTAAAACACTGTCCCAGAGATTTTGATATGTTGTATCACTATTCTAATTTACATCTAAGAATTATTTTATTTCTCCTCTGATTTCTTCTGCTGTCCATCATCATTCATAAGTGTTGTATTTAATCTCCAGGTGTTAGAGTGATTTCTGTTTTTTTATCTTATCATTGATTTATAATTTCATTCCATTATGATC